AAGTCACTTTAGTAAGGTCACAATACTGGTAGGGTAACATTAGTTAGGTCACCACTAATGGTAAGGTCACATCAGTTAAGTCACCACTACTGGTACGGTCTCATTAGTATAGTCACCACTACTGGTAGGGTAACATTAGTAAGGTCACTACTACTGGTAGGGTAACATTAGTAAGGTCACTACTATTGGTAGGGTAACATTAGTAAAGTCACTACTATTGGTAAAGTCACTTTAGTAAGGTCACCAATACTGGTAGGGTAACATTAGTTAGGTCACCACTAATGGTAAGGTCACATCAGTTAAGTCACCAATACTGGTACGGTCTCATTAGTATAGTCACCACTACTGGTAAAGTCACCAATACTGGTAAATTAGTAATGTCACCACTACTGGTAAGGTAACCTTAGTTAAGTCATCACTACTTGTAAGGTCACCAATACTGGTAAAGTCACATTAGTTTAGTCACCACTACTGGTAAAGTCATGTTAGTTAAGTCATCACTATTGGTGAGGTCACATTAGTAATGTCACCAGTACTGGTAAAGTCACATAAGGTAAGTCACCACTACCATTAAGGTCCCAGTTACTGGTAAAATCATTGTTACTAAGTCAAGTTAGTACAATTACTGCTAATGTGTTACCTATAATATTGGTATAATCTGTACCGATATATATATATATATATATAAATGTGTATGTCAGTCAAGGTGTATACATCACAACTTTATTTTGGTGTTTTGTCTGAATTTTAGTAAAAAATAATAAAAAATTCAACTTACAGAAAAAATAAAAACAGAAATTCAAAAGCAATTGAGGTACATCAATTCTGAGACTGAAATTTTTTTTTTTGTGTCTAATATCATGACAAATGTTTGCTTGATAATTTAATTTATATATTTCCAGGTTCCTTACTATGAATGGAATGACTTGAAATCAGATTGGCAGAAGACTGCATACATTAAAGAAAAGTTACAGAAAACAGTTAAAAGTGATGCTTAGATACCTATTGCTTTTTGTCAGTTCCATAATAAAATGTAAATTTATTAATAAATGTTTGCATGAAGTCCAAAAACCTGGCGAGTACAGGTATTAAAAGTTCTGTTTGTTTGTCCTGTGCGATTTTCGAACTTGGTACAAAGACGTGCGTGATTGGGCCAAACAGGTAATTTGTCATTGATAAAATAAAATTTGCAATCAGTAATTTTAAAATCCAAAAACTTGTAATACATGTTTGACTTCATTAAAACTCATATATTGAGTTGCTGTTGTGAAGCATGTCAGTACCCCCCCCTGATCTTGGCACGTCAGAACTTACAATGAATTGCAGTGATTGAAGAAAATGGAACAATATTCCATACTTAGAATATTTATAAGATTTGAGTTTGAAACCTTGTAACCAATTTCTGCCTGCTTTGTTTCTTAATCTGTACTAAGTGCAAATATTGATATAGGCTCTTCGTTAAAATCTGCTGTCGTTTGTGTAAATTAAATAAACAAATATTTTCATGAACTCAATTACTGTTTCTCAGACTTTCTAAAATTTTAGTTAAAAGGCAATGGTCGTCACGACGTGTTCCGTTCGATATAGGACTTGTAACGGCGTACTGCAGACCCTGTTTTAGAAGGTCTATGGACGTACACAACATACGAAAAATGTATTGTTGGTTCACACAAGTTTGAATGAGCACTGTTCACAATTAACGCTCTTCAAAGATACTCAGCTGACCAAATTCGACTTTATAATTCTTTCCTGCTTTGTGTGAAAATGAGGTGATTTGCTTCTACGTTTTAAACTGATCACTAATTGGTCCAATGGTTATGAACAAGTAGCAAAGCTGAAATAGTCACAGCCAGCAATCGCATCACAAACATAATAGTGTTTACAGCAAGTTTCTTAGGAATTGAGACAGCCAATTTGCAAACTTGCTAGAGAATTGGCTAACTGCTTTGGTTTTGACTAAATGGTTGGCTTTCGAAGTCTCGCTGGTGCTGTCTTGTGGTCACGCCCACTCTGGGTGAATCTATGTAACTGTAGGATACGGTTGTCATACTTTAGAAGCTTATCAGCGACGGTCTTACAGTTGGATGGCGATTTTGCTTTCAAATATACCAGTGTTCTATGTTCTGGTAATGAGGTGTTCATATACAAGGGATTGTCTATGCAAAAACAATGAATGAAGTCGAATTTTATTAGCGGTTGGCTTAATGTTACCGCAACGAATCGTCCCTGATTTGTTGGGAAACTGTTTCTCAACTTGTCTCTTTATTTAGTTTCAAGCAGTGTTCTAGATGACTACTCCCATATCGGTGGATTAATCACATCACAGCTGACTGTGGCTATTCTCAGGCTGAGCAGGGAAACTACATTCACATTATCACGCCTCGCAAAGCAAAACATTCAGGGGAATCCAGACATGTACCAGGCTATGTAAAAGCATTCTATGTCCCCTATTGCAATATAGACTCTCCCAGAGTGGATGGGACCACAAATCGGTGCCAGTGCGATTCGAAAGCCAACTGTTTAGTCAAAACCAAAGCAGTTAGCCAATTCGCTAGCGAGTTTGCAAATTGACTGCCCCAATACTTCTGAGATTTGCTGTAAATGTATAAATCACAGAAGCAGAGTCAATAGAATTGTTACCCGGATGTCTCAAGAACATCAATGATGAACTTTGGGAGTTTACCTTAATAGTTTGAATGCTGTGTATTAATGTATAATTCACTTTGTATTCAGACTGTATTTTCCCTATCAGTAACCTTCAAGCTTGCATAAATTACAGGTGTTTCTATGGTAAAAATAAGTACCTATATTTTTAGTATAGATTCAATATGCAACAAATGTTTTGATTTATATTGCTTGTAATAGAGCACTATATGCATTCATAAGATACTATTAGAGCTATTAAGGTAGGTTGCGGTTATTTTAACCCATTAATTAGGGGTGAAAAATCTATCGGTTAATTTACCAAATGGAAAATATTGTTCTAGTGGGGGGGGGGGGGGTTGAGGACTATTAGTGACAAGCTTGAGGACCCATTGTAACTACATATGATTCTGTCAGCATATGTAACCATAGGAACCAGAGCTAAGGCTTAAAAAAAATTGTTTTCATGGATAAATGTTTGTGGATTTTGTGATTTGCGGGATTAAAATTCAGACAATACATATATTCTACAGTTTTTTTTATTTCTAAATGTACATTGCAGAAAAAGTTGTCATTAGCATAGTCTGGTTGATGGCATTCTCGTTTTTAGCAACATTGGATAATGTACATTTCTGTGTATGTATATATATATATATATATATATCTCTTCTGAAAATACCAAGGTAGTTTGAGTCAAAAGGCAAGATGTATCATCATTTACAATTATTGTTTTTAAAAAAAATGTTGAAATTTTACAGTAAAGATGCACTACAATTTTGAAAATCTGATCAGTGTCATTCAAGTAAAAATAAATAGGCAATCTACAAAATATTGTGCCATGTACATTCGCGGAAGCCGCATACAAACCTAAACAATAGGACCATGTACACTTACACAATATGAGCAAGTAACAGTTGGTATCAAACAATTCATGGACAATTCAAGAACTACAAAGATTCGGCATAAGTAGTAGTGTAGAATCATAAACAATTAGGGCCATCTACATCCACATGAACCCAGCAGGAAGAACCAGGAGCAGGTAGTTTACAATGCTTAACCATTAGGCCATGCAAGGCACTCACAATATCCTAGCACAAAACATAGTGAACACCTATTCTCATGGACGGAGTACGTCACAGAATGTTCTATGTTGCTAAAACTTGCACCATTCTACAATGTATTTCTATGGGCTCTGCATAAGCTGCTGTGGAACGCTAGTTTAAATAGTACAAACTCAACTTTGTTGAGCAACCAAATTTACATATGTTGCACATGTAGGGGTAAATCTTGTTGCACTATTCAGGAGAGTCTTGACGTTCCCACCAAAGTACAGTTTTTTGAGAGTTTTCAGCCTTTGTTTCTCACCATGTGATGGTTGCCAGGGGGTGAAAATGCCCGGATGTCCGCTCCGAGAATATTGTTGGCACACTTGTAATAACCCAGCACAATGACAGTGTGCTACATATAGACAGAAAGGCTATATAAATCCACAAGAACCTAAACATGAGATTATGTTTATATAATATTAGTTATGTACACTCTGAGTATACCCTCAAGAATTTGTACAATATACAATTTACAGTCTCTGTTTTAACCTACATAGTGCCAAATATTATACAGTGAATGGCAGAAACCTGTGGACATTATAATTAAATGTTATAAATCAAAATGCCTGTTAGATTTCAGATTTCAATCCAAAATGGTACTGTAACACGAGTTCTAATTAATATTAATGAGCAAGTTTAAAATCCTCCAATCAGCAAGTGCTTCATTTTTAGTAGGCAGTCACATTTGCTACATGTCACATGAAGTCGTGTGCACTCGTTTTTCAGCATTGATAATGTTGAACTCTTTAGTTACCGGTAATTATTATCGGTAAATATTTATATTAGATTAAAAATTGATGTTAAAATTCTGATTGACTAATCCAGCAATGATGTTGTGACGTCATAAATTATGTTATTTCAACATTATCCAATCAGCAAACAAGTTAATTTAAATAAGCAACATTGTCACATCTATATCACAGGGAGCCCAGGAACTACTAGTATAATCAACTGTACGCACTCCCTATGAGCAGGGGGGGTATCGGCTGGTATCTAGTGTAAGAAATAGACAAGGGATGAAGGCTCCAGCGAGCTCATATTTTCTAAACTGTAAAAAAACAGACGAACAGAATGAAAAATAAAATCTATAAAAAATACCAGGTTGAAGAATATTAGTTGCTCTTTCAGATTTCACCAAAGCCTTACCTATATTTTATCTATATCAGTTGGCCCGAACGCACGGCACAGTTGGAGGCGTGGCCTATTCAGAATTTGTCAAGAACCAATCATAATACTGGTTACGAGCCATTTGAGCGAGGCTAACCGAGTCGTAACCTCAGTGTGGTTTAGCTCTTGAGCAATGACATATTTGAATTAAAGCTGGGGGTCTAGTATTTATAAATGTATTTAAAAACTACGGTACAGTTTTCTGTCACACACTGTACATCATGTAATTTGTGTTAGAGTTACGAGGATCAGTATCATCATAGTATCATATTTGGTTTGAAAAACCCCGTTATTAGAGTAGCCGTCATTACAGTGGTCTTCATCACAACAATATCCACAGTATTTGGTACCTGCAAAACACAAAGAACATACAAACATATTAACCCTTCGAGCACCAACATTTTTTTATGCTTAAATTTGGAGAAATTTCTTCACATTTTCTGTAATTTCTACTAAATTAAATCTCAATTTTGGACCAAACAGACAATTTGTGACATTGCTTTTAGGTTTTCACATCATTTTATGGGGAAAGATGATAAATGAAACTATTTTATGGATTTTCCTAAAGTTGACGTTTGTGGCCTTTACACTGTAGTCTGAATGAGCGTAGACAAGCCTAAATAGGTTTCGATTGTATACAGCGCCACCAGTGGCTGTTCACGGCTCCATGCGTTAGACAGATGGAAAAAAATTGTTTGCCTACCAAATATATATGTCAGGTCACATGACTTCATCACGTATTTTACTCATTTGGTTGCATAAAATTACATGGATTGAAAAACATGAACAAATTTACATCACATGTCCCTATACAAAATCAAATGCTGTCAAATGCCAGAATTAAAAGGCAGTGGTCGTTGCGCCACGCATGCGCGAGATATATGGACCTCATATATCCAAAGATGGCAACTTTGGCTCTTGAGCAGATCAACGAGTACAAACTGAGACGTTACTGAGCTGTTATTTAGGTATGTTCATGTGATTGGAAGGTATCGAAGGAGTCATCGGCGGTAATCAGTGCAAGTCGCGTCCATGTCAAACGTCATACTTGTGATTTCCATTAGAAGAGCGCATTGGATTGTGGGAAAATCAGTGTTTATCAACACCGACTACCGCCCTTTACTAGTAAGACTACTTTTTCACGTCTAAAATTGTACATTTTAAATAAAAAAACAATCGATCACCATAATACTTTATAACAGTGTTTTACTATATACTATTCAGATTAGATACCAATTCTTTCTGTAAACTAATAATGCAGAATTACCAAATGCATCCATACATCCACTGTAACCATAAGAACAATAGGAATCCACATTTTCGGCACATCCACGCGTGAAGGATACAATTACGTCATTCACTTCCTCTTGTAGCACCTGTTGTTAAGAATTGTGGGTAAATTTTGTGAATGCCGCAAAGTACCCAAGTCGTCGTGCAGCATAACTTATTTCGTACACGATGTCGCACATCACTGCACTAGGTTCTGACTATCATTATATTTATATATTCATTATCATTATACAGAAAATGCATCAAGTGCCAAGTCATAGAGGATGAAGTACACTTTATCACAGAATGTGTTCTTTATGAATCTAAAA